CCAACCGCGGAACCCCAATCCGCGTGCTTCAGCCCCAGACTTCACTCGGTCTTTCCGTACAATCTTCGCTGACATCACCAACGCTGAGTCAGCTCCTCCACCAGCCGGGGTCTTCCTCGTCTGCTGTGGGAGCCGTGGGCAGCTCGGCAGCTGGGCCGGTGGGGCCGGTGGACAGGCGGCCTAGCGGGGCGGGGGCGGGGGATGGTGACCCACGGGACGTGCACGTGGGTGCACGTGGGACTGGAGCAGCGTTCGCAACGCAGGTGAGAGTGTGTGTCTGTGTGCCTATGAATGTGTGTGTGAGAGTGTGTCTGTCTGTCTGTGTCTGTGTGTCTGTGTGTGTATGAATGTGTGTGTGTCTGTGTGAGCGTGTCTGTGAGCGTGTCTGTGTGTTGTGTGTACACTGGGGGTTGTCGTTGGTACCGTTGGTGGTTTCGGTAGCAGAAGTAGTAATGATGGTTATGTTGATGGCTGTGGGGGTAAGCTGATCATTTGGTCGATCTTGTGGGTGGGAGAGGACTGGGCCGTGGTGTGATGAGATGAGATGCGATGCAGTGAGATGAGATGAGATGCTTCAAGGTGTGCCGTACGCGGTACGCGTGTGCTGTGCTAGCATAAGATGTTGCGCTCTGTGCTCTGCCGAGCCTACCTGTCAACGGTGTTCTGCAAAGACCAGTAAAGGCGTTTCTGCTGGCACTCATCACTGCCACCCAAGGTTGCAAACACGGGTTACGCACGCTTGGCTCATTTCTAAGGTCCCTCCTTTCCCCCTTGCCGTACTTCGCACCCCTTCAGGGCAGCGTAACCGCTACCGCCAGCGCGAGCCAAATCGACATTGTCACCGCCAGTCAATCTCCTAGGGCGCCGGCGGCAGCTCCGTCGCCAGGAGCAGCAGCAGCTGGCGGCGACGCCACCGCCGCCGCCACCGCCGCCACGGCGGCGGCGGCGCCTGCAGGACTGCTGCCCTTGCGTGCCGTACATACTGGGCGGTCGGCGGTGGTGATCCCAGACGGTGGGTGACCTGGGTTGTTGGCGGATTTAGGTCAGAATTGGATTTGAATTTGGATTTGAATCTGGACCTGGATCTAGATCTGGATCCGAATTGTTTTCCTGTTGTATAGAGACCGATACAGCAGCAGCAGTAAAAAACCTTTTGAAAACTTTTGAAAAAACTTTTGAAAAAACTTTTGAAAAAACATGATGACCGACATGAAAACGCAAATATGTAAACGTAGCCCAGGACCTGTGTATTGGTGTGTTATGTCCTAGTGTAGCTGTTGTAGTGCAGTGCAATGCTGCAGGCCCGTAAAGTCTGTCTCAGGCCGGCACTGCCCCGACCACGGTATAAAACCGCGCTCCGAACGTGAGTAGAATAAGAATTCCGAAACAATTCACGTCCGTTCTGTGAGCAAAGACGATTTCGGTAAATTTATGGATTTCGGTGAGGCTGTCGTACCAATTCTTGATGTACAGTTCCGGTGAATTCTTACAAACGTTTCCTTGACAGCCATGTCAGTTTCAGAAGATTTCATAATCATAATTGATTCGCATATTTCTTAATAAGCTCATCATTACTGTGTAGCTATCGCGCTACAACAGTAGCTGTCTGGCATGGCACTGACCTGGACTGATATATCACAAAGTTGCCTAATCGGGACGTGGGGATGTAGCCTGTGCTGGACAGCTGTGACTCAAATTCTCTGTGTCAACGCAGGTCCCAATGATGCTTTGGGTCTGGTAACGGACAGCGTACTTTACGTAGCTGTGCGTAACACCAGCAGCTATTACTTCAGGTATGTCAGGTATTCAGAGGATGGATAGAAAAGTAGACATTGACACTTAAAAAATGTTGTATTCTATCTATCTATCTATCTATCTATCTATCTACCTATCTATCTATCTATCTATCTATCTATATCTATCTATATCTATCGATCTATATCTATCTATCTATCTATATCTATCTATCTATCTATCTATATCTATCTATCTATCTATGTTGTATCCTATCTATCTACCTATCTATCTACCTATCTATCTATCTATCTATCTATTTATCTATCTATCTATCTATCTATCTATCTATCTATCTACCTCTCTATCTATACCTATATCTTTAGTTGTGAAGGAAGTGAGAGGCCTGAGCGGATGCCTATTCGGGCTTCGGCCACTGATTGTTTTAAAGACCTTGACGGCCCTTAATTAGTCCCGCGGAATTTTCAAATGTGTTTACGGGTGCCGTTATGTTCCTCCCTTGGATATGCTGTTGCTCATCGTGATGTTTGTTATGGGAAGGGTGAAGGGTGTCTACTATGTTTGCACCAGGCGTATGTCGTACTGTATGTATGTCCGTCCCAACGCAGGGCATGGTTGGCGCGATTTAACGAGCCGGGGGTCCCGCCGCCGCTGACGGCTGCTGCCGCCGCGGCGGCGGGCTGTACGGTTGAGGTGCTACAGCCCGGAGATACTGCCCGCCTGGCATGCGTGCTTCAGTCCGCTGCGCACGCCGCCCTGGCGGCGGCGGCGGCGC